GGATTATAAAACAATGGTTGAGGATTTTCACTCTTTGCGAAACACAACGGGAAGTTAACGGAAAGATGAAAGTTGGAAATTGCGACTACAGGAAATTCCCCAAGGTTTAGGTTTAATGGTACCTTAGGTACATTCCGGAGTGTTTGCAATACAACAGAAAGTGCTAATTCTTGGTGCTGGCAGAGTTCGAGATGCCATTCATTGCACGTATAAGCTACATTCACACCCAGTAGATTGATTCGAATTCCGAAGTTTCGCAGATTGAATTCACTTTAAATCTACGTGTATAGATTGGATACGTTTGCGAATTCTCAAGTGCTTTGTTTTATAGGTTAGAATTCTGTTCCCCTGCTAAGGCTCGTGGTGATAAAATTTCCAACTTCTGAAGTGTAGAGGTGCCGATCACAATGGGCGCGCGCTCTGAGGCATGGAACGACACACTAGGATTGTGGGTTCGAATCCCACTCGAGGCATGGATGTCCACTTGCGTTTATTCTATGTTTGCGTTGTTCTGTGTGTAGGTAGCGGCCTTGCGACGGGCTGATCACCCATCAAAGGAATCCCATCGACTGTATATACACGTAGATTAATAAACTGAAAGTATGGCCATGGTCCACAAGGGCTGTAGAACCATAGATAGATATGTAGATAGGTAGGTAGGTGGGCCGCGCCATAGCTCAAGCGGTTATTTGCTGGCTTCCCACCGCGGCCGCCCGGGTTCGATCCCGGGTCTGGTCAAATGGGATTTGTGGTGGACAATGTGGCGCTGGGGCAGGTTTTCTCCGAGTACTTCGGTTTCCCCTGCCAATCTTCATTCCACCAATTGCTCCACAATCACCCTCACCCATCATCTGGGGCTGGTACAATAGGCCAGAAGTGGCCGCAGTACAAGGGACTTAGTCCCACCCCACTAGCAATAAAAAAATAGTTAGACATATAGGTAAGTATATGTAGATGGATAGGTGGGTGGGTGGTTAGGTAGGCAGGCAGGCAGAAGTGTATAGGATTGATGATATCCATTTTAAGGTTCCGTAAGGTCATCCTCTTTCGGTAACCGATGGTAGGATTATGAAGTACCTGGTATAGGATTTCAGCAGAGGACTCCCAAAATACTGTAAATCACACAGCATTGCTAAAAATGACTTGAAGATGATGGCGGCAATAATCATTTAGTAAATTCTGGATTTAGGTTCTCACGGTAGCAACTATGAAGTTTGTCATCTTTATAAATGTGACACCGTACATTCTGATAATATTTACCAAGGATTTGGAGAAAGGTACCGCTTCCAGCTTCAGTATCGAAAAGAACACGACGCAAATAAGCTTCAAGAAACGGGCAGAACGCAAATCTTGACAAATTTCTATCGGACTGCACGGCGTCATATCTCAATAAAATAAGGCCGTTTATCGTAGTGTTTGTCGTGAGGACATTAAGTCTAAATTATATAATTCGCTCACTTGCATACCAATTATATACAAAAATATTGTAACATACACAGATGTACTGTATCGAAGACAATTATGAAGTATTTTTCATAATTTTCAGAAATTATAGAAGGAAAATTCAAAATGTTATTTTCGGGCCTTTAATATCCTTAACCTGTATTTTCTAATGCTAGAATTAAACAAATTATTTTGAATTTTAAGCGACATAAATAAATACTAGTAAATACAAATTATTATTATTATTATTATAAAGATTAATTATATAATGTTAAGTATTTTCTTAATATTTATGGTATGCATCCCGTTGCGTGTTGTGCAATAGTTAAATGCGGCCTTCTGCACAACAATAATATCTACAAAAAAAGACAAATGGATGCTAAGGTAAATATTAGTTTTATTGTTATTTATGATACACAGATGTTCAGCTACATATTTCGACCTTTCCTAGGTCATCATCAGGCGACCCATAAGAATTTCTGAATTGAATTATTTAATATGTATTGTAAGGGTACAATTTACAAAAGTGTATTCGCTATTAAAAACAAAACGAAATTGTAACATATGTATCCATATTAAGGCAACTCAATTCAAGGAATGAGATTGATATTCTCGTGACCCCCCTGATGATGACCTAAGAAAGGTCGAAACATATAGCGCAACGCCTGTGTATAATAAATAATAATAAAACAAATATTTATACGTTAGTATCCATTTTGTCTTTATTTTGTAAATATTATTGTTGTGCAGACGGCCCAATTTAAGCTAATATTTTTTAACATTGTATATGGTAAAAATGTTTTTGTTTCCTTTGATATTGTGACACCGCGTATAAAATTTGGAATAGGCCGACATATACAACTGAAGCTCAGTTAAGGCCGCAGTTTTGCAAGAATTTTGATTACTTCTTTTTTTACGTAAACTGTCGACCACCGTAATTGATACAGAGTTCCGAATAAACTAGATGCCCTCAAGAACTTCTCCACTAAAATTTAAGCGCCGCACAATTAGTAGCTGTTGCCTCCTTTGTGTACAGGTAAGTATTGAAACTGTAGCGACACTTAACGCATCTTCCTGTATTTTCATAACGTGTTCTGTGCTACGTGTTACAGCTCAGTCATTGGAAAACTAATGAAACTAACAACACCAGGCTGTACAACTCTATGCAGTTCTATCTCTTGTATCACATAACAAAATCACCACATCCAAAAATATTTCAAATTAAACTTGCAGATATTAACGAGGTCTGCATTTTCTACTATGAACAGGATTTTTGTAATATTAAGAAGTTAAATGGAAGGATGAAGATTGCATTAATTTAACTGACTGTAAGGACCAGTGGCGGGATAGAGTGAACACGACAATTAACCTTCGAAATCCAAAAATTTCTGTGAATTTCTTGAGTAGCTGAGAAACCATTTATTTAATTAATTAGTATTTGAGAAAACTATCGATCTATTGCTCTAAATTCCTTTTTATTGGATCTTGGCCATTTTTTCAGTGTCTTGATCCCATACACAGTCGGTAGGACGCCTTGGATAAGGGATCAGCCCATCACAAGGCCGCCATCTAGACAAACACAGAATAAACATACACAGACATCCATGCCTTGAGTGGGATTCAAACCCGCCATCATAGCGTTTGAGCGAGCGAAGACAGTTCATGGCGTAGACCACGTGGCCACTGAGATTAGCATTTGAGGAAACTGACGGCAGAGAAGTCTGAGCTTCATGAAACGTTTAGAATCAAAACGGACCAACATAAATAAAAAATATCTGCTTACAGTGTTCGGTGTAGATTGTTGCTTTGGAATTTAATCAAAATCCGTCAAGTTAGATAAGCAAAAATGCAGGGTTAGGTTTCGTCCATAATAATAACAACGTGATTCCTAAGGAGGCCTACCTACTGTATATTGTTAATGATAGGCTATATTTCATTCTTATATTTGAGTCCTTAGATTTGTTAACTGCAGATTTAAGAATTTCATTAGTGATAAAAACAGTATCGATATCTTAAAGAATTTTAAATATTTCTGTTTTGCACAACAAATTAGAACAATATCAAATTCCTTTTGTAATATCCTGTAATAGATATTAGAGAAACGAACTGTATCCTCCAATGCACTCTTACAAATTAAGCCACTAATTTTATCTTAAGATACATTATGCTTATAGCAAGAGGATACTCGATCGTAACACAAGTGAAACTTAAATTTAACACAGTTCCTGTAATTGATATCTGAATTTAAGAACTGGGTACTTTAAAACTGGAAGCGATGTGAGACAAATTACTTGTAACGGGTTCAAATTTAGACCATATGCTCTCAGCAGAAGCTAAGGACGTAGACTCTTAGGCCTATGAGTAGCCTGTATCTTATTCTCTTAAATTGTAAGGAATGTATTTTTAAGATGAGCTCTGTGTCCGTGTATAAACCGTTCCATGAAATTTTCCGTTTAAATGTTTAATTGAATTAGATGATAAACAAAGCTGAGTTATAGCTAACGCTGTAATTTTAGTGCAGCATTTTATTGAGACTGCAGAAAGTTTTTTTTTTTCGTAAATGCAGGCTAAACCTTTATATTCCTACATAAGAACAGAGGGGAAGTTAATTATACAGAGTATAGACCCTACAGAATGTGAGTTCCTTGGACGGAGCACATGAAACAAAAGGCACCGTATTTCATGGATTCTAAAACGTTTCTTTTTCTTCACATTTTATTTCTCTGAATTCGAAATCGTGGCGAATATTACTTTAATTGAGTCTAAGAATGGGCATCTAAAAATTACACTGTCTGACTAAACCGGAAGAAAAACCTTCATACCAATAACACTAGTCATGTGACAGTAAACATGAGGATGGCAACAAAGGAGATTTCTGAAGTATTTCTATGTATTTTTGCTATTAAATGTGTCGTTACGTGTAACAGTGATGGAACTTGGAGGCTGAAAATTTTAATGAGATTCATATTGACTGTTAGTCAGCAGTGAAATTAGGTCCAACTTTCATTCTCGTACCTGTGCTCATTGTTGCCTCTTAAAAATCAACCGAGCCTTATCAGGGAAATCACATGGGTTTTTCTGTCTGTGGCTGTACGGTCATTTTGTTGGACCTTGGCCACTTGGCCAGTTTCTTCAACCTACACACAATCGGTAGGATTCCTTGGACGGGGGATCAGCCGGTTTCAAGGCCGCTACTTACACGCAGAACAACATAAACACAGAGTAAACGGACACAGACATGCATGCTTTGAGTGGGATTCGAATTTACTATCCCAGTGTTGGAGCGGGCGAAGACGGTTCATGCCTTAGAACTCGCGGCCACTGTGACCGGCCACACAGTCTTTTAGTCTGGGATATTTTATTTTACTTAGGCCTCACGCTGTAGTTTTAAAATCTGTTACGGTTTTATGATTCTTTTCTTAGTATGAAAACAGTTTTTTTTAATGAAGTGACGCATTTTAGAGTTAAATTGCTGTAAATGGTTTAAAGTAAGAAAGAAATATTTTTTCTATCAAAATATAGGCCTGTGTTCACGTTTTCAGATCACTTATACTCACGGCGAAAGTGTTTCACCAGGTACCCAGCGCGTAGTCTTAGTGCTCCTAGGTGGATGTCCAGGCACGTGGGCTTGTCTTCAATTTGCCGACCCTTCTTCAACGACACAGTTAAAACCTTAACCTATCACCAGTCTTCTTTTTCTCTTGACGCTTGCCACGTTGTTGGCAATGAATCTCTTTTCCTCTCACTTGGTTCTAATACAGTGGGCACCAATCCTTACAACAAACAGGAAGGATTGTTCATTCCTAAGCAGTCACGAAAAACCTTACGAATTTTATTTTGAAATGAGACATTTTAACCATCCTCATTGAAACAACTGTTAAAGCGCTGCTTTACAAAATTGATGGAGTGAACTTTATTATTTCAGTTAGAGAAGCCCATAACAGTGCCATAATCCAGATGTACAAAAAAGTACATTTGTTTTCGTTCCTTCGATGGCATATTTTTAAGGATGTTTATCCAACACTTATTGACATAGAAGGTTTACATGATTTGCTAATTGGTAGGCTACTCAATAAATATAAAACAGTATGAATTGGCGACAAAATATTTCTTTAACAATAAATGTCAATAAAAACTTTTATGATATTCGACACTGCATTTAGAAGTGTCACATCCTGCTTCATGCTTATCACTTGCATATTTTATTGCACACACATTCATTAGATGTAGCTATTAACACACTTTTATTTTTCACAACTGCCCCCACGTTTGTTATTGTCCATGTCTAGTGAGCGAAACTGCGGTTTCTTAACGAGCCATTCTGTTCGGGTCCGCGAGGCTCGAAGTTTGGCGCGCTTGTGGCCAGTCTGGACGCGGTCACCTTCCCGAACTAACGAGACATACCGGACTGATCTCTTTACACATAGGGAGCTGATCCTCCCCTCGATAGCTGCCCGGCTTGCGTGCGTGCGTAGATTTCCTCTCGCAGTCTCGTCCGTCCGTCCGTTTATCCGTCCGGTTTGTCAGACCTCGAGCTCTCATTCATCAGGCCTGCTACAGACTGCTGTCAATCTACCACCCCTCTCCAACACCCTCTCCCATTTCACTCCTTAAACCCTTATCTTACTCTCGCTCTCTTAATATCACCCCTTTCTCATGCATTCTATCTTTGTTACTTTACTCAAATAACTCACCCTATTCATCCCTTTTTCTCCTCCCAAAATTTTCCCTTATTTTTTTTCAATTTTTTCCGAAAATCTCCCCTCTGCTGTGCATGCAGGGTGTTGAGATATGAGAAAGGGGAGTTAAAAGAGGGTGAGAATAATCAAGGGAGAAATGGGGATGGTGATGAAGGAAAAAAAGGATCGCGGGAAGTATAGGGGATGACAGGTTTTAAGGGGTAAACCAATCAGAAAGCCAGTGAACGGGCGGATGGTCCAATAGGATCTAGTTTAGAAACGGAGGGGGTTGTGTTGGTGGTGGGGGTAGGGAGCGTGAGATGGGAAGCATTGATTCTTAAATGCTGGATGCTTATTCGTGCGGAAGGACCGTGAGAGGGCGCAGTGGGTGTGAGACATGTTGGTTCCAGTTACGGCCGCTGGAGGGAGTTGGAGTCTCGCAGTCGAGATACACAGTAGTACAATCGAAGTGCGAGAGATGCCATGGCGCTGTTAAGAGGCTTCGTCTTGCATTGTCACTTTATTTGAACTTCCCATTAGGCGAGGCGAACGGGTTTACATATCCCACAGATATACTGTCGCGACAAGAATCTATTTGAGTGTACTTCTAAGGTGACGCAGTGAATGTTCTTGTTGTTAATGCAGGACTTTTATCTCTTTCTTTACCTGGCGACTGTTGTTTCAATACCACATTCATCGGATCCTATTCCTATCTAGATTAATTCGTTGGGTGTTGACATATTCTATCGTCTTAATTATCTTTTAATATTATTGTACGATGTACGCCAAATTCTTTTGCGCGGTCTCTTGCCCTCAAGGTATTCCAGAACAAGTTTTGTATACATTTATCACCAATGCTGTGTTCGGTACAGGCATCGCTGTGCACACTTTTCTTGGTTTGATCATTCTAACGGGTCCCATGGGTCATTGGTGGCTAATTAACTGACTCCATGGAGCTGTGTCCTTTTGGAAAAGTCGCTATTTGCTAAGCTCCTCACAAAATTCCCAACGTTTTATGAAACTGGAAATTTCATTGCTATTTTCACAAGAGCCCTGCAATGGGCCCTATTCTGAGCAAGACATATCCAGTCCGTCCTATTTAACCACTTGGTGAAGCTTTACATAATGCAGTGTTCTCCATGCTTCTGTTATACTGCTTTCTCACTCTTACGTCTGTGTTCTCAGCAACCTCTTAATTGATTAGGTTCTTAAGAGACTGAATAAATTAAGGTGTGTTATGTTATTAACGGATTAATAGAACTTACGAAAGCGTATATGAAGTACCACAAAAACTGAAATTTTAATCTGTATATACATAATAGCCAAAGTCCGGTTTTCTCACCCTGATTTCCGGAAAGGACCGTCGTAATAGAGACTTGTAAGGACAAGGGATGTTCTTATGGGAGAGGCAACCCTGGGGAGACTGTTAATTTTGCTACTACATGGCTTCCAAGCCACATCATTTGCCTGCAACTTCACTCAGAAGAAAGGCATTGGGATCATGACAACAATGGGATCGTTTCTAGGACAAGGGAGGGAACCAGATTATTTTCCGCCGTTACTAAGATAAGGAGGGAGACCTGCTTATCTTCCGCTGTCGGTAGGCTGTGGGGAAAGAATTAACTTTTGCTCTTCCTAGGATCCGGGGAAACCCCAGGTTGTCTTCTGCTCTTGAAAGGACATGGGGAGAAACCAGATTATCTTCCGTTGTTGATAGGATGCAGGAAAAAACCAGATTATCTTCTGATGTTGCTAAGATACGGGGGAAAACTAGATTAGCTTCCGCTGTTGATAGGATGTGAGGGAAAAACCAGATTATCTTATGATGTTCTTAGGATACGGGTAAAAACCACATTATCTTCTACTGTTGATAGGATACGGGGCAAAATCAAATATCCTCTGCTGTTGATAGGATACGGGGGAAAATCAGATTATCTTCTGATGTTGATAAGATACGGGGAAACCCAGATTATCTTCTGCTGTTGATAGGATACGGGGGAAAATCAGATTATCTTCTGATGTTGATAAGATACGGGGAAACCCAGATTATCTTCTGCTGTTGATAGGATACGGGGGAAACCCAGACTATGTTCTGCTCTTGATAAGATACGGGGGAAAACCCGATTATCTTCTGCTGGTGTTAGGATACGGGGGAAAACCAGATTATCTTCTGATGTTGATAGGATACGGGGGAAACCCAGACTATCTTCTGATGTTGATAGGATACGGGGGAAAACCAGATTGTCTTATGATGTTCATAGGATACGGGGAAACCCCCAGCTTGTCTCCCGCCGTTGCTAGATATCGGATAAATGACAACGGGAAGAACGTATGACCGGAGTTGGAAACGAATCCGGGAAAGACGGAAGGAGATGAAGGTATAAAATTGATAAAGGTGCGGGAAAACGGAGGTGAGGGAGCTGTTTTGTCTTGAAGTTGAGGGAGGAAGGAACGAGGAATAGAATGGTGATGGGAGGGACAAGAGATGAAAACCAAGTACCGGAGAAAGAAAGGAAATGATTTTCCCTCATGAAATTAAAAGGTAATTGGAAGTAACCATTGCTAAGAAGAGCAATAACACGTGAAATGGCGCCGAAGGTTTCTCTGCACGAGAGATTTAGTTATGAATAAACTTGGAGCTGCAATTTGAGATTCTCGTGGCGGTAACTATAAAGGGATGTTATTACATGTAGTCTGGTAGAAGTTTACGGATGTTTCGGAAGATCATTCTGCCTCCATCTTCAGTGTTGAAGAGTAAGCCGAACACTTCCTAAGAGCTAGAACTCCCCAGATTTGGTTCTATACGTTGGTAGGGGGACGAGATTTTCTCTACTCCTCAGCGTCCAAACCGGCTCTGGGATTCACTCAGTCTCCTAGGAAATGGGTACTACAGGAAACTGTTTCCCGGGGTTAAATTGGCCATGGGGTGTAGGTGTCTGAGGTTATCGCTATATAACGCTCACATAGCTCTTCATGCAGCGACAAAACTACCTCTTCTTTACCTACATATAAAAGCCTTGTTTTTATTAATATAAATAATGTTAGATAGCCCAGTCTGTACATAGTCTGGGCTTCGAACTAGATGACCAAGAAATCGGGAATCTATTTCCGGTAGGAAAAAAATTCCTCTTCTTCGCAGCATCCAGACCCAATATGGGGCCCCCTTGATATTCTATCCAATGGGTACCTGGTGCTTTTACCCCGGAAGCCAAGTGGCCGATGTGTGAAGCCGATCACTCACTTCCACCTAGTGCCAAGATTAAGGATGCGTGGAGCTATATATCTACTTCCCCATACGTCTTCATGGCATGTTGCTTCATTAATTAAGCCCAGGGACATCGTCAACTTTTTTACTGCTGATCCAAGGGGTGCCGGATTTGAGAGGTTCGACCTACATGTGTCTACACTAATTGCTACAATCTGCTTTGTACCGTGTAAACTACTATGGACATCAGTCTTAGAGACGTCATAAAATCATAGATCAGCGCAGCGACTTGGCGAGAACAAAGTGTCATGTTGTGTAACACGTCCGACGCAACAACAGACGAGCTCCACGAAGTGTGAAGGACGGCCATAGGCTGCTCTCGAAGGATCGTGTCCACACTTCTGCAGCTGCATTGCAGTTGCCATTCCCTCAGGGCTGCCGCGTATGTCCAATTTTGTGGTAGACCACAGCCTATTGATATACAGTGATCCTTTCCTCTAATGAAACGGGGCACGCGGTAGCGCAGTTACTCGAGGCACTGTGCTACAAGCCGGAAGGTCGCGGGTTCGTTTCCCAATGAGGTGGATTTTTTCAACTGACCTAATCCTTCCAGCCGCACTGTGGCCCTGGGAACGACTCAGCCTCTAACAGAAATGAGTACCAGGAATCTTGCTGGCGGCGCTTAAGACTGACAACTTCACCACAATCTCTGAGCCGATTGTCTATAATACATGGGAGCCTCGACGGCTCACAGCCCTCTGGGCCTCCCCGGCCTGTTACAGGGATAGCTTGGGGCGTAAGGCTGACAACCTCACCTCCATCTGTGTAGTGATTGTCTAGAAAATGTGGGAGCCTCGATGGCTCACAACCCTCTGGGCCTCCACGGCCTGTTACACGGATAGCTTTACTGCTGATAAAACAGAAACTGTGAGCACTACTAATATTATTCGCCATTTAAAAATACTTTCTGGGAAGAGCTCTGTATGAAGATGTATGGGGGAGTTGAGATATAGCTGCACGCATTCTAACCTCGGCACTAAATGTAGGTGGGTGATCAGCTTCATGTTCTTCTCGCTTTACCGTCAGGAAAAAATCCTCCATTTCCCATTGGATAGAAGCCTGGATGGGCACCACGGCCGGTATGTACGCTTCGTAGAATAGAGAAATATCTTTACCTTGCTGCGAATCGAACCTTTATTCCTTGGTATTTCGGCTCGGAAGCTATCACTACTCCGGCTGAGATATATAGACCCATATAGTTGAAAGAGTGGAGAGGAGTAAGTTAAATACTTAGACCTAAAGGGTTTCATGACTTTTAATCGCGAGTGATTGTCCCTTAACAGAACTGCACTCTCGTACTGAATAACTGACCAACCGACTGCACAGGCAACAGTGCAGCTTAATAAGAGATTCTCTGTCACAAGCATTTTTTTTCCTCGACGTTTCTTCATCGAGCCAAGCCTCGAATCCATAT